GAGGCCCTGGGTTCGATCCTCAGCACCTCATAAAAATAAATAAAATGAAGGTATTGTGTCCAAGTACAACTAAAAAATAAATATTTCAAAGAAAAGAAAAAAAATAGGGGTACAAAGAGTAGAAATTCCTGCTTTGTTACTTATTTAGGATCTAATATACTTTACACATTTTTTTTCCAGAAGAAAAAATTCCATAGACAACTGGTTAAAAGCTCCAGACTCTTATACTCTTATTGGTATATGTCTGGTGCTTTTGATTTATGGATTCACAGAATATTTAAGGGGCATTCACACTAATGAAAATTACAGTCAGCTGACAGGAAAGAGGACTTGTGGGTTAGGGCAAGGCCAAGCCTTTAGGAAATTCCAGAAAGTCTTAAAATATCTGGCCTTTTCTCTCTCTCTCTCTCTTTTTTTTTTTGGACAGATTATGGTAACTAAGGCTCCCTCAAATGTCTGAGTAAAAAGTGAACTATAAGTCTGTTACAGAAGTATATTTTGGTATTAAAATTCCTAGTGTGCATGGGTGTGCACACAAGTTTTGTTAGTTTGGTTTAGGTTTTTGTTTTGTTTTGTTTTTTTACTTCCTTGAGAAATATTGGAGGAAACCCCTCCTTCTTCCTGCACCCAGATTACCACTTGTAAAATGAGGATTGCAAATTTAATCTTAAACACATTTGAGATCTTATTATTCTTCCTGTTTGAGTGGTCTGGAGGTGAAAAGGTAGTGAAAGTAATGCTCAGTGCTTCACCTAGGTTCTCATTAAAACTGTCTCATGGACTGGGGGTTGTGGCTCAATGGAGGAGCACTTGCCTAGCACATGTGAGGCACTGGGTTTGATCCTCAGTACCACATAAAAGGAAATAAATAAGATTAAAGTATTAAACAAGGGCTGAGGATATAGCTCAGTTGGTAGAGTGCTTGCCTCACATGCACAAAGCCCTGGGTTCAATCCCTGGCACCACACACACACACACACACAAAAGTATTCAGCAACAACAAAAAACCCTGCTCATTCTTTTCTTTAATACTTAAAATAATTCATAGCATTACCACCCTTATGGATCAGGCCTTTTTTTATTTTTATTTTTTTTTTAGTTGTAGATGGACCCAATGCCTTTATTTAATTTAATTTATTTTTTATGTGATGCTGAGTATTGAACCCAGTGCCTCACATATGCTGGACAAGCACTCCACCACTGAGCCACAACCCCAGCCCTGGATCAGGCATTTAAATTTTTTTTAGTAGTTAGCTCTGTGGTTAAGCACCCCTGGGTTCAATCCCTGCTGCCAAAATAAATAAATAAATAAACAGATAGATAAATAAAATAATAATAATAGATTCAAGGCCCTTATTTAACCCAGACGTTTAAATAAAAAGTTAGCAAAGATGGGAAATTTTGTGCATCTGAAACCAAAGAAAGTTTCTGCCTAGACAGGTATTTGTTCTGATTCTAATTGGGCTTGTTCTCAGTAACACCAGTGCAGGGACTTCATACAAGACAAGAGATGTGTAATGAGAACTGAACCAAACTGAACTCTCTGCAGGTTGCAACATGTAACACATATTCTTGGAATTGTATTTGAATTTTACCTTTGATAGAATGTAAATATTTGTGTTAAGAATGCAGAACCCATTCTCTTTTCATGTTTTTCTTTAAGGATTATTTCCAGGGTTTCTCCCTTTTTTTAGTCCTGAAAATTCTAATTTTTGCAACTTTTCTAAGTGGTTATCTTAAAGTGCAGCAACATTTGGAATAATCAGTGGAATTTATTTGAATGATTTGTTAGTCAGCTTTCTAATATTATATCAAATACCTAAGATAATCAATTTACAAAGAAAAAATATTTAGTTTGGCTCACAGTTTTGAAGTTTCAATTCTGATCAGGCAGATCTATTTCTTTTAGGCCTCTGCTGAGGGGGAGCACGTCATAGAGGAAGTATGTAGTGGAACAAAACCACTCCTTTATAGCTGCGCAGCAAGAGAAAGAAAAGAGAGGCTAGGGTCCCACAATCTCCTCATGGCTGGGAATTAAGGGTGGCAGTGGGGAGAAACCAGGATCCCACAATCTCTTTTGATGGCATCTCCCATGACCTAAAACCTCCCATTAGGCTTCACCTCCCAATTATACTAAGCTGGGGAACTCAAGCCTTCAACACATGGGCCTTTGGAAGACAGTCTAGATCCAAACTATAGCAATGAGCAAATGAGAACTGTTTTGAGAATAAAAACAAAAAATGTGCATGGAGGGTGTTCTACTAGCTCTTCTCGTCACCTTGTTGATAACCTTCCTTTCAAATGGGGGTCTGCATACCAAATCAGAGTGTACTGAGCCCTGTAAGTCACATGGATGTTGTTAATGTTGGTGAAGCTGAACTATGTATGGTGTGGCAAGATCAGGGTTGGTAGAGCTTATTTTGGGTTTTGTTAAAAATAGATCCAAGCTGGGCATGGTGACATAATCCCAACATGTCTATAATCCCAGCAGTTTGGAAGGCTGAGGCAAGAGGATTGCAAGTTCAAAACCAGCTTCAGCAATTAAGCAAGGCTCTAAGCAACTTAACAAGACCCTATCTCAAAATAAAAAATAGAAAGGGCTGGGGTGTGGCTCAGTGGTTAAGCAATCCCTGCTACCAAAAAACAATAAGAGTAGATTCATTCTGGGCATGGTGGCACACCTGTAATAACCAGATACTTGGGAAACTGAAGCAGGAGGGTCACAAGTTTGAGGCCAGCCTAGGCAACTTAGCAAGACCCTGTCTAAAAAAATAAGACTGAGGATATAACTCAGTGGTAGAGTGCCCCTGGATTCAATCCCCAGTACCACCAAAAAGAAAAAGAATTACTAGTATAATTAGCAAAGTTGATTGAAGATAAATGTATACTGAATTCGTAAGAAACTATTCCTAATTGGTGTTGTACAAATTAATCCCTGGCTCCGATTTATTTATTTATTTATTTAGTTAGTTAGTTAGTTGTAGATGGACACAATGCCTTTATTTTATTTATTTATTTATTTATTGTTATGTTGTGCTGAGGATTGAACCCAGTGCCTCACTTGTGCTAGGCAAGTGCTCTGCCACTGAGCCACAACTCCAGCTCCCTAGCTCTGGTTTCTGAAATACATGCTTTCTATCTTTGAGGAGAAGGAGAATGGTTAAAAAAAAAATTATAGAAGTGATAGTAAATCTTCTTGATCTTTACCATTAAATTGATTAGTCTGTTGAATTTAAAGATTTAATGACTTCTGTTAATGTTGAATTCAAAAGGTGCTCAATATTTTATCTCCTGTCATACTGACTTTCAACTGTCTTTCCTATTTCAGGTTATCTAGAAATAAACTGAGATTTGAATGATAGGATCAGGTTGAAGGCTGTCATTCAAACTAAATAAACATACTCCCTATGGGAATATTCTATGACACTAAGTGACTTTCTCTTGAGTTATATTTCCAGTCCTGAAAATTATAATTTTAGTTAGAGATCTACTCAAGATATGAGAGTTATAATATAGGGATTTTCAGGAGTCACAAAATACTTCATTCAACAATATGTACCATCCTCTTCTATAAATTCTGGAAATATATGGATGAAAAAGCATAGACTCGGGCTGGGGTTGTGGCTCAGTGGTAGAGCACTCGCCTAGCATGCACGAGGCCCTGGGTTCGATCCTCAACACCACATAAAAATAAATAAATAAACAAAATAAAGGTATTGTGTCTAACCAAAAAATAAAATAATAAAATAAAAAAAGCACAGACTCTATCCTTAGTGAGTTTACAGGCCCATAGGACAGTAACACAACATCATGTACAGAAGTGTGACCAGACACCTTGAGAATACAGAAAGGACTACCACATTTATGTGGAAGAGATAGGTCAGACTTCATTTGCTTACACTGAATCTTAAAGGAACAGGCATTTGCTAGATAACAGGATAAATTTGTAATCTGGGTGGAGGGAACCTCTTCTACAATGTCTTGGTCCTCAGAGAAGTTTGCTTTTCTTGGAGGAAAAAAGATGAGAAAGATAACACCCAGAGAAAAGGCTGAGTAGGTAGGGACCAGATCTAGAACAGGTATTCTATAGCACAGTAAGCACTTAGAGTTGAATTCAAGGAGTAATTGGGAATTCTGAAAGAATTTTGAACAGAGGAGTACAATAGATTATATTTGGGATGGATTATTTTGTATTATGTGGTTGGGATAATGGCAATTAATAGAGACTGGATTGGAAGGTGAAAAAGAACCAATAAAGAAGGTAATGCGCCAGGTGTGGTGGTGCATGCTGGTCATCCCAGTGGCTTGGGAGGCTGAGGCAGGAGGAATGTGAGTTCAAAAAGCCAGTAATTTAGCAAGGCCCTAAGCAACTCAGTGAGACCCTGTCTCTAAAAGGGCTGGGGATGTGACTCAGTGGTTAAGCCCCCCTGGGATCAATCCCTGGTACAAACTAATAATAATAATAATAAGGTAATCCAGTAGTCCAGGGGAAAGTTGATGAAGACATGACCAAGACCGAAGCAGCAGGGGTAAAGTGAGCAGGAGACAGGAAATAGTAGATGCTGCCATGAGGCCTTGGCAGTCTGGAGGGATATGTCACTGTTATCTGGGACATGAGGATTTCCCTTCAATGACTATTTAAATTACATTGCTTGCTGGTATAACTGATTAGGCAGTAATCCTTAGCAGAAAGCATTACCTATTTAGAATTACTCTTTTTTTTTAACTCTAAGCACTTATGAAATGTAGAGCTTGATATTTATAATATTTTTTACAAATCTGTGGAATGGGGCTGGGGATGTAGCTCTGTGGTAGAGCACTTGCCTGACATGCATGAGGCCCCCTGGATTCCATTCCCAGCACTGAAGAAGAAAAAATCTATAGAATGTGAAAAAATATATAAAATCTAATCTCTTACGGATTATATTAATAAAAAAATACTTAAATATTTCATGAAGATATCCCATCTTCTATTCAAAGTGTATTTGTTTTCTATACAGATTCTTTGGGCCCAAAGCCGAAATACAGGTGGAAGGAGGATCTCTGAAAACAGCTATTCTTTGGATGACTTGGAAATAGGTCCAGGTAAGCAGAGTTACTTATGTGTGATATCTTTTAGAGAGCATTTATTAAAAGTAATGACTTTTGGACTCAAGGCCAATGCTTCTAGAAGAAGAATAACACACAAATTAAAAGGAATTCTGTCAGGTACATTCGCGAATCTCATTGCTCTCTAAAGCTTTTCCTGTGCGAGTGTTTTTTGTTGTTGTTGTTGTTTTGTTTAGTGGTACTGGGGATTGAACCCAGGGGTGCTTTACACTGAGCCACATCCCCAGCCCTTTTTATTTTTATTTTGAGACAGGATCTCACTAAATTGCTTAAGACTTACCTAAATTGCTTCAGGACTCACTAAGTTGCTGAGGTTGGTCTTGAACTCTTGGTCCTCCTGCCTCAGCCTCCCAAGTCACTGGGATTACAGGAGTGTGCTACTGCACCTGGCAGCTTTTTGTGTTGTTGTTGTTTTTTTTTTTTTGTGGTGATACTAGGGATTGAACTCAGGGACACTTGACCACTGAGCCACATCCCCAGCCCTTTTCTGTATTTTATTTAGAGACAGGGTCTCACTGAGTTGCTTAGCCGCTGGCTTTGAAATCTTGCCATTCTCCTGTCTCAGTCTCCTGAGCTGCTAGGTTTATAGGTGTGTGCCACCACGTCCACACTTATCTTATGTTTTTAATCTATCCTTGTCACAATGTGAGAACCAAAGGATGCCTTTGAGAAATTACAAGTAAAATGCTATTGACACTTTGGCTCCACAGTTGTCTGGGGCTTGAGGGCTTCAATAGATAGGCTGTATCACTTATAATCAAGATTGGTGATCCTGGGGCTGGAGATGTAGCTTAGTGGTAGAATATATGCTTAGCATAAGCAAGGCCCTAAATTTGATCCCTAGTACCTTTCTACCCACCAAAAAAGAGGATTGGTTTTCCTATGTTACTGGTGATAATATAATACGTTGGAATTATTATGGTGCAGTTATCATGTTGGGGGAAGGGTATAAGCATCTCACAAAAGAAATTAATAAGCACAAGAAAATCATCAAACTTCTGGTAGTCAAAGATATACAAATTAAAAGAGCATTGAGAGCTGGATGTTGTGGCTCAGTGGTAGATTGCTCGACTGGCATGCCTGAGGCACTGGGTTCAATCCTCAGCACCACATAAAAATAAATAAAGTAAATGCACTGTGTCCATCTACAACTAAAGAAGAAAAAAAAAATTTAAAAAAAGAGAGCATTGAGATCTTCTATTTTTCCATATGTCAAATTAGCTAGAATTTTAAAATATACCATGCTTAATTATGGTAAAGCTTCTCCTCTTAGTGTTAAGAAAGTGAATGAATATTATAAATAACAGATATGTTTCTGATTTTCTTCTTTGTCCTTTTAAATTTTTTTTTAAGTTGTACATTTATACTTTATTTACTTTTATGTGGTCCTGAGGAGTGAACCCAGTCGCTCACATGTGCCAGGCAAGCGCTCTACCACTGAGCTACAACCTCAGCCCTTGTCGTTTTTAATAGAAGAAATTGACCATTAGATTTCAGTAGCCCAAATGTAAAATTAGTAAACCACTGGAATCACATGTTATCACCTAACAAAGCCTGTTGTTTGCGTGCTTCCAGGTCAGTTGTCATCCTCTGCATTCAACTCAGAGAAAAATGAAAGTAAGCGAAACCTGGAACTCCCACGCCTCTCAGAAACCTCCATAAAGGATCGAATGGCCAAGTACCAGGCGGCTGTGTCCAAACAAAGTAGTTCAACCAACTATACAGTATGTGTTCTGAATCCCTCCTTCACTCGCTCCCCCAGCCTGTCGTCACTGAACACAGGAACTAGGAAGTGTCTCCCAACCCTTAGGCCCTGTCTCTTTCTCTGCCGCTAGTCAGTCTCTCTTCACATAAATCCTACCCTCACTTCATTTGTAGTCTTTACTGTGTTCTAATCCTGACTTCATTCTTCTAGCTCTTTCACATTCATATTTTTTTGTATGATGTTACCAGTCAGTAATGTCACAGAGTTTTCCTCATTCTCTTAATGAATGTTTTCATTGTCATTGCCAAGAGGTATAGTTTTATTCGTTTTAACAATAATATTTAGAGTTGTTTTTTCTTAGTTGTTGATAAACCTTTATTTTATTTATTTATACGTGAGAATCGAACCCAGTGCCTCACATGCCAGGCAAGTGCACTACTGCTGAGCCACAACGCCAGCCCTAGAGTTGGTTTGTTTTTGATAGGAGGTTTCATTGTATTCCTCAGGCTGGACTTGCACTCTGGACTCAAGTGACCCTCCTGCCTCAGGCCTTCTGAGTAGCTGAGACAATAAGCATATACTACTATGCCTGGCTAACAGAAAAGATTTTACTTAATTTAATTAATTTATTTATTTGCATTGCCTGGGCCTGGCACATGTTAGGCAAGTGGTCAGACATTGAGCTACATCTCTAACCTTTATTTATTTTTTTTTAATATTTAGCTGTAGTTGGACACAATACTTTTATTTATTTATTTTTATGTGGTGCTGAGGATCAAATCCAGGCCCTCGCACATATGAGGAGAGTGCTCTACCACTGAGCCACAACCCCAGCCCCCTTATTTTGGTTTTTGAGGAAAGAAGAGATAATATTAAAGAGAAATAGCAGTGGCCGGGCACGATGGCACATGCCTATAATCCCAGCAGCTTGGGAGGCTGAGGCAGGAGGATCGTGAGTTCAAAACCAGCCTCAACAAAAGCAAGGCACTAAGCAACTCAATGAGACCCTGTCTCTAAATAAAATACAAAATAGGGCTGGGGATGTGGCTTAGTGGTTGAGTGCTCCTGAGCTCCATTCCCAGTACTAAAAAAAAAAAAAAAAAGAAAAGAAATATCAGTATTCAACATGAATGTAGATGTTTTATAATTTTTTATTTATGTAAGTCACACAACAAAATCATCATTTTATTATTATTATATTATTATTAACTAGGGATTGATCCCAGTTCTGCTTAACTACTGAGCAACATCCCCAATCCTTTTTTTCATTTTTTTGAGACAGTGTCTCACTAAGTTGCTTAGGGCCTTTCTAAGTTGCTAAGGCTAGCTTTGAACCCTCCTGCCTCAGCTTCCAAGCCTCTGGGATTACAGGCATGGGCCACCTCACCCAGCTAAAATCACCATTTTAAAGTATATATTTTAGCTGGGGGTGGGTGGCGCATGCCTGTAATCCCAGCAGTTTGGGAGGCTGAGGCAGGAGGATCACAGGTTCAAAGCCAGCCTCAGCAACTTAGAGAGGCTATAAGCAACCTAGTAAGACCCTGTCTCAAGATAAAAAATAAGAAAGGGCTGGGGATGTGGCTCAGTAGTTGAGTGCCCTTGGGTCCAATCCCTGGTACAAAACAAAACAACATAAAAGAATAAAGTATACATTTAAGTAATTTTTTTATTTATAAGGTTGTAAAATTATCACTACTGTCTAATTTCAGAATATTTTTGTCATTCCCTAAAGAAACCTTGTACTTTGTAGTTAATCCAAACCCCACCCCCAGTGCCCTAGCAACCACTAATCTACTTTTTGTCTTTATGAAACAGCCTATTCTAAACATTCCATAAAAATGAATCATACAGGGCTGGGATTGTGGCTCAGTGGTAGAGTGCTTGCCTAGCAAGTATGAGGCCTTGGGTTCAATTCTCAGCACTGAATATAAATAAATTAAATAAAGGTCTATTGACAACTAAAAGAAATATTTAAAAAGAAAAAAATTAAAAGAATTATAGAATATATGGTTCACTTAATCTTTTTTTTTTAGTTGTAGATGGACACTATACCTTTATTGTGTTTATGTATTTTTATGTGGTGCTGAGGATCAAACCCAGTGCCTCACACAAATGAGGCAAGCACTGTACCACTGAGCCACAAGTCCAGCCCCAGTCCACTTAGTCTTTAATCCTTATGATGTAATGATTTCCTACAGAAGTAGAGTAGTGTATTTTAAAAAGGGGAGAAATGACAGGAAAGATGACATCCTTAAAAAGCACAAAAATTTGATATTCCAGAGAGAATGAATGATCTTTTATTTTACATTTTCCTATGCTTAACTGGCAAATTGACACCACATAAGGGCTTAACTGAAATTGTTATTTTATTTTATTTTTTGTAAAGTAGTACTAGGGATTGATCCTTGGAGAACTTTATTCCTGAACCTTTTTATTTTTTATTTTGAGACAGGGTCTCTCTGTGTCGCTGAAGTTGACCTTAACTTGCAATTCTCCTGCCTTAGCCTGCTCCTGAGTAGCTGGGGTTATAGTCACCCACCACCATGCCTGACTAACGTTACTTTTTATATCCCATATGTTCATATGTACCCACACCTACACATAGGTATAAACACATCCATATTATTCTTTTTTCTTCTTTAATTTTTTAAACATAAATGTTTTTCTTTCAGATTTTTCTCCTTCTAAAATTTGAAATTACAAACCATTCATCTATTGATGTCCAAATTTCTTAACAAACTCTGAGTAAATCAGTCATACTCACTTTCCCTTCATATTTTACATAATATCTATTCCAGGAGTTCAGTTTTCTTTTCCCCCTAATAATTAACTGTGTATTTCCAGTAGTATTGGTGGACTAATTCTCTGAGCAATGAATAATTTCATCTCAACTTCTTGCAGAAATTTTAATAAGAAGTAATGTGGAATTCCATGCTCATTATTCATAGACAGTGTGAATAATAAAGCAAATTTAGATGTCACTTAGAAGATAGATCAGGAGGTAGAGCAAATAGGTGATCTGGGAAGCTTACTTTGCTCCTTTAGAGGAGGTTGCTTCTTCTCTGTGTCCTCTTGCTGCAAACATTCCATCTAATCGATTCCATAAGTGAGAAAACCTGTTCAGTGACTTTTTTCCCCCCCTCTTAATAGCGTTTTTACATTACAGTTTTCCTTCTCTAGAGATTTTAAGAGTTGGGAAGTCTTTAGATTTTTTTTTTTTTCTGTATATAATGAGATTGAACCAGGGGTGCTTTACCACTGAGCTACAAAACCAGCCCTTTTTTATTTTGAGATAGGGTCTTGATAAATTGTGGAGGCTGGCCTCAAACTTATAATCCTCCTACCTCAGCCTCCCAAGTAACTGGGATTACAGGTGTGAGCCACCATGGCTGGCTCTAGGAGTTCTTGTGAGAAGTACATTTTATCTTGTCCCAAAAGAATTTCTCAGGCCCCTCACAGAATATGGTTGTTACAAGGCCCATCTTCTCTGGCAGTAGCTGTGGAGGTATGGTTTTGAGATGGGGTCAGAAGTAAATAGGGTTGTCATGTTTTGTCTTCACCTCAAGAGCAGTGTGTCTTAATCTGGAATTCCAGACCTGAGTAAATCAGTCATACTCACTTTCCCTTCATTAGCTCTGGGTCCAAAAATTGCTATTTCTTCCCATGCTTAAAGAATCACAGAGGGCAGAAAGGTACTAGATTACTAAATTACTAGCAGACTAACAGTAGGAGATGTCTACATTCATCTGTCTCTGTGTTGATTTTAGATACAGCAGGTAATATTCTCAGAATATTAAAATGAACTTACCTGCTGGATCTAGTAGAAAGGAAAAAACATGATTGTGTTTATTTCTTATGATTGTGTTAATGCATGCTTTTTTATTTTGAGGCTTTGATATGAGAAATAGAATAAGGTATGTCTTATATGAATTTTTTATGATAAACATGTTTTTGAAAGTCCCACAGAAAAAGGTTGTTTTATGTTATCATTAAATATAATTTCAGTTTTTATATGTGTACATCATCCCTGTCTCTTTCCAGGCCGGGCATTTATATATATGGTCAGTATATTTTCTTAATTATTGGCACTTGGCATCTCCTTTCCCCTGCTCCAGAATGGTCCTTTCTGATAAAACTCACAAGCTTTGCATTTCCACAAGCTCTGCTGCTAGACGAGTGAATCACAAGAACATTATGTGCTGGGGTGGTTTGTGTGTGTCCATGTCCGTGTGTCTGTATTCTAATGAGTGTGCAGTTTGAGACTAGCATACAAATATTTAACTCTGAGGTATGTGTCCACACAGCTGCTTTTGTCATTTCACTAGTCAATGGGTTTTGCTTGTGAGAATTACGGGGTTGATTTGACTTGAAGCCTCTAAGAAGAATTTTTTAACATTCCAAGTTTATTTGAAAGATGTGCGATGAAGAGAGTGGAATGGCAAGAATTTTTCTTTAAAAATTCACAAGTTATTTTTATTTTATAGAATGAGTTGAAAACCAGTGGTGGTGAAATCAAAACTCATAAATTGGAACAAAAGGAGAATGTGCCCCCAGGTCCTGAGGTCTGCGTCTCCCATCAGGAGGGAGAAAAGGTGGGTTGAACAGTCTGATGTCCAGTTGCCAGGGGAGCATGTGTTCTGAATTAGATGCTTAAAATTAGAAACAACTCTAACTGTAGGCTGTAGAGTGTCTGGGAATTTGGTAGCAGCTGCCAGGACAGATTGTCATTTTTGCAGGCCACACAATTTCAGCAACTTATAGCTGACCAAATAATGAGCCTTCACTGGAAAATTCTTTTGCTCAGCAAATGCTCAGAGGGCATAGAACTAAAGTGATTTTTAAAACTCTGTTGGATTTAAAATGCTTGTATATTCTTAATTTAACTTCATACTTAACACATTTTTGGTAAGATTTCTTTTTTCTTTTAAAAATTTATTGGTTTATAATTTTTTTGTTGGTGTTTTGGGGGTATTTTTTGAAATATGCTATGTTGCCTATGTTGATCTCTAGCTCCTTCCTCCAAGCAAGTCTCTCTCAGCCTCCTAAATAACTGGAACTGCAGCTGCATACCACCCCACTAACTTGTTTAACACACTTTATTCAAGAAAATACTATATTTTCTCCCAGGGTATTTTTGGTTTTTGGTTTTTGCAGTGCTTGGTATCAAGATCTTGCACACAGTAGGCAAGAACCCTACCATTGAGCTACATCCCAGCCCTAACTCAAAGTACTTTGAAAGCTAGTCACTATTCTAAGTATAGGAAAATACTGAGTTTAAAAACTAAAGACAAACTATGTGGCCTTTATATGCAGGGAAACTAACAGAATGAGTGGGGGAGGTAACAAGTTGGCTACTGTAAAACAAATGTGATTGGTGCTATGAGAGAGTGTATAGGGCCATGCAAGCTCAGATGAAGGATACTTAACCTGAGTTCCTCAAGAAGGTTATATGTGAGCCAAATCTTGAAGAATATGCTGACATAGGCCAAGTGCATAAGGGAAAAGTAGAGTAAGAAAGGGAAGGGAAGGCAGACAACAGATTTGGAAAACAGAGATCCTAGCTTGCTTAGGAGTTGTAGTTTAGTTGTCTTGACTTGAGCAATGTACATATAGGCAGGGGTAAGAGACAGATGGAGGACCAGGGAATGGTCTGGAAAAGCTTTATATGTCACCATTAAAGGTTTGGATTTGGCCAGGCACAGTAGTGCATGCCTGTAATCCCAGCAGTTTAGGAGGGTGAGTCAGGAGGACCATGAGTTCAAAGCCAGCCTTAGCAACTTAGCAAGGCCCTAAGCAACTCAGTGAGACCCTGTCTCAATAAAATACAAAAAAGGGTTGGGGATATGGCTCAGTAGTTAAGTGCCCCAGGTTCAATCCCCAGTACCAAAAAAAAAAGTCTTGATTTGGATGCAAACTGGGAGTGGTAGAACATGCCTGAATTCTCAGTTACTCAGGAGGTTGAGGCAGGAAGATGGCAAATTTGAGGCCAGTCTGGGCAATTTAGCAAGACTATCTCAAAATAAAGCAAAAAAAAAAGGGGGGGCTGGGGAAGTGACTCAGTGGTAGGGCACTTGCCTAGCATACATGAGGCCCTGGGTTCAACTCCAAGAATCTCACACACACAAACACACACACACACACACACACACGACATGAAGTTTGAATATAATCAGGTAGCAACAGAAAGCCACTAAAAGACTTTAAGCAAACCATATTTGTATTTTATGTCCTAATTATTAGATGAATGGCTTAGTTGCAGTAGGTAACAATATTTATGCCAGATGAGTTTATCATATTTTTTTCCAAATCATTATCCAGTCCGGCGCCATGTGCATGCCTATAATCCCAGAGGCTCAGGAGGCTGAGACAGGAAGAGCTCGAGTTCAAAGCCAGCCTCAGCAAATTAGCGAGGCTAAGCAACTCAGCGAGATCCTGACTCTAAATAAAATATTTTAAAAAGGGCTAGGGATGTGGCTCAGTGATTAAGCACTTCTGGGTTCAATCCCTGGTACCAAGAAAAAAAAAAAAGTATGGTTTATTGACAGAACACTCATAAGAACTTGTAAGGTACATTACACACTTAGATCAAAGTAGGCACCCAGAAAAATGATCTTAGATTAATGACTACAAAATTCAATTCACAGCATAGAACAGAAAAGAAAATATAAATTTTTAATTATTTTCTTATTAAAAAATACACAAGTGTATGTTGAAGTAATAAGACAAAATACTTGATATTCATGTGTTACATGGTTATAAATTATAAAGTTGTCAAATAAATTGTGTACATCCTTACAACAGTGTGCTAAGGTATTAGTGTAGAGGTCACATGTCTGTGTCTTGTATCAAATGAGTTCTCTCCTTAAACTGCCTGGTTTTCCCATATTTTAAATAGGTGATTATTTCTTAAGAACCTCAAGTAAGTATACTTGGAATTTTCCTTACACTCTATAAAAAAGAACATTTAAGAGAAAAATATTCCAGCATTGAGATTCCTTCATTTTTACCCCAGGAGCATAGTTTGGAAAATAATGCTTGGGTTGTCCTTGTATGTGATGTTGTGCTTCCTTCTTGATTGTCTTCATGCTGATTTGAAACTGGAACTCTGGGTTGAACTGGAGGATCAGAACATTTTAATTATAGCCTGAGAGGGCATTAGTGCAGCTGAATCACAAATCGGGGAGTAGGTGGGAAAGAAAGAGGATAAAGACAGCAGATATTCTTCAAGTATTTACTGCAGGTTTATAAGCTATTGGCTGCTGTTAAGTCAGCAAAAAAATTTCAGAGCCACAGCTATCCTTTTGGCTGCATGCCTAGTTTTTGTTAACTAGTACCTAAAGCCTATTTGAACTTTGGCTTGCTCCAAAAGAACATTAATGCTAGGGTGAACTTTCTTGAAATGGAATATTTTGTCAAGATATTTTTCTTCCCTTTCTCCTTTTGCAAATGAATTTGTGCTTTCCTATAATGAAATGTTTGAACAAAATCTCATGTGCTTCTGCCTGGAAGTTCCTGCAGTGAAGTCATCTGGTTGGCCATGTGCAATGATGTCATTCTTGGCACTAGGTATACCCCACAGGTTCAAGGTGACCAAATTAGAGGTGAAAGAAAAACATCCTAGAATGGATGAACCTACTAAGCAAGAGTTGAGGAGTGTTTTATAGCCATTGCACAGCTTTCAAAAAACTATTTCATATCATTAAATGAAATAATGTATGTAAAGTGATCAGTCCAATACCTGGTACAGAGTAAACACTCAGTAAATGTCAGCTGTTATGCTGGTTTGTTTTATGCCTTGTCAAAATTCTTGTAATGAAATGAGAGTAGAAAAAACAACTCTGCTGGGGCTGGGGTTGTGGCTCAGCAGTAGAGCGCTTGCCTAGCATGTGCGGGGCCCTGGGTTCGATCCTCAGTACCACATAAAAATAAATAAATAAAATAAAGGTATTATGTCCAACTATAACTAAAAAATAAACATTAAAAAACAATACCAATGGGCTGGGGTTGTGGCTCAGTGATAGAGTGCTCACCAATCACACGTGAGGCACTGGGTTCAAAACTCACCACCACATAAAAATGAAATAAAGCTATTGTGTCCACCTACAACTAAAAAAATAAATATTTTTTTTTAAAAACCCTGCTGATGTTCAAGTATAGGTCCGCCAATAACTTAATCTCCATTGTAAATTTATTCAGTACTTTAGAAATCCTGATATAAACACTTAGTATTACCCATAAAATCCAACATCTGAATGAATCAATATTACCTGAAGAGTGTACATTGGCTCACCTGTTGACCCTTCATGATTTGGGATGTGGAAGGGATCCTGGAAAGGCCTAGGGGCCAGTAAAAATCAGGGAGAGACTAGTAGAGAGTACTTTTATTTAAATTTGATCTGAGGAAAAGATATACACCTGATACATAAGAATCTGCCATTTTGTTAAACACTGCCATTTTGAGACTGGGCTTTTTAAATGCCTTTTTAAGGAAACTAACTGAAAATAATAATAGACGTTAATTTTGGGTAAATTTGTTTTTTAGTTATCAAAAGTTCTTCAGTTATGGGCAAGTTTTTTTCAGTGGAATGCATTTGGTTGAGAATTGGCAATTAGGAAAATAAAAGAACAAGAATGGTTCCTAGCAGGGCATGGTGGTCCACACCTGTAATTCCAGTGACTCAGGAGGCTGAGGCAGGATTTCAAGTTCCAGGCCTCACTAAGTTACTGAACTTAATGAGACCCTGTCTCAAAATAAATAAATAAAAAAGGATGGAGATGTAGCTCAGTGGTTAAGCCCCTCAGATTTCAATAACTAAGTAAAAAAAAAAAAAAAAAGTTCTCATATTTAAATACTTTATCTTGCCTAGATTGTATTAGGTTATATAGAGAAGAGCTTTGCTTTCCTTGACATAGGAGTTTTTGTTTTGCTTGTTTTTTGAGAGTGGAATGATGTGGTTTAGAAGTTCTTTTATAAAGGGAGATGAGGCACACTTTTGGCAGTTGAGTGCAGTCTGTTTCTCGAGTTACTCTGTAATTGAGAGGCATGTTAATATCCTCATAAAAGACATTTTGCTGCCTCTTGTTTAAATGCTCAGCTGTTTTGGTGCCCGTTATTTCCCCAGGCAGCCAGTGACTGACTGGAGTCAGCAGGTTTTTATGGCATTAACAGCAGTTTGCTCTTTTATTTTTAATGTGATTCTTAATCCCTCTTCCCACTTTTTTTGTAGGCTTCTACAACTGAGAATAGCCTGACAGTCCATTCCACCCCTGCCGAAGATGACTCTCGTAAACATTTGCCTTTAGCTCTCGAAGGTAAGTTCTTACTTCTCCACACATATTTGGTTCAGAGGTGTCCCCATTACTGTTAATGTTGAGAAAGTAATGTACTAAATCCAACAATTTAGCCGATGAAATCTTCCACTTGGTTTTAAGGACTGGTGCTGGGCTGGAGATGTAGCTCAGTGGCAGAACACTTTCTTAGCATGCATGAAGCCCTGGGTTTAATCCCCAGCTTGGGGAATGGTGCTTGGATACACTTAACACATTTCATGGCTTAGAGAGCAGTTGAATTCAATTAAATATGGTTATCTTGAAACAAATACCTTTGATACTTCGCTCACTAAACTTATCCTATCTTTTATACTAAACCCTTTCAGGCTTAAAGCTGTGTAAACTAATTTTTAAGTTTTATTTTAATAGAGGTGTGTCCAAGAAGGATTTTATTTACTTATAGGGATAAAAATTGGTAGTTGAGTTACCTCTTTAGTCTATAGGGTTTTTTGTTTGTTTGTTTTGTTTTGTTAGTTTTAGGTGGACACAATATCTTTATTTTACATTTATGTGGTGCTGAGGATTGAACCCAGTGCCTCATGCATGGTAGGCGAGCCCCCTACCACTGAGCCACAATCCCAGCCCCATAGGCTGTAGGGGTTTTAATGCTGGTGCTAAAGTTTGTCATCATAACATCTTGTTTTGGACTTGTTTTAAGCCTAGCTTATCCCAAAGACAAAAATGTTTGGACTTTTAACTTTATTATGCCCACTTTTGATTCTTATTTTTAACATGTCATTTAAAAATACATGTGGATCTTAAGACAGAGTCTTGCAAGGTTGCTTAGGGCCTCACTGAATTGCCAAGGCTGTCCTTGAACTTACAATCCTCTTACCTCAGTCTCTCAAGTTGCTTGGATTCCAGGTATGTGCTACTGCACCTGGCAAAAAAGGACTTCAGTGAAAAAATAAAGTAGAAATATGAGCTAAACAGATCTTTAGTAAACCCTACCTTAATATTTCAGAGAAAAACTTAACTGATTGAATCCAGGAACATTCCTTTTGCAATTATTTTGCTTGGACTAGAAATATTTCTGACTAGGTTGGCAAAACTTTTTTTGAAAAATAAGCTGTAATCTTTTAGTACTTTGTTGACTCAACACTAGATTTTTAAGGAATTTTAAAATTTATTATTATTCCTTAGTAATGGTATCAATGGCTTTTCTATGCCTCTTCTGAGTTCATGGGATGTACTGGCAGGAAATCCGCTTATGCAGTTGACACTTCAGTGATTATGAAAAAACTTTATGGAGCCCTCTTCTCAATTTTTATTCATAGATATATGCTATAAGACCAACCAAGGAGAAAATGTGAGATTATGTGCACAACACACATGAGCACACATGTGGTATGATATTTTTGCCCTTGTGTTCCCTCAGTTTCCCAGCTCTAGTTGGAGCACTCAAGAAGTTATTGGGAGTACCAACAACCAAAAAGTCAGCAAAGTCTATAAGTGTCCTTAAGAAACATGAATACTGCTGGGCAGCAATTTTTTTTATACAGGGTTGTTTTGATTCCCACTTTTTGTGGAACAGGGTGAGAAAGTTTGCTGATGACTCGATTTGTTAAGAGGACCTGAGGACCTAAGGAGCATAAGTTTTAGTTTATTCTTCAACAGAAGAACAATGTTTTTCTTGGTGTTGAAACTACCATTCTTTGATAGAAAATGCTCAAACTTTGCTTTTTTGGAAAAGCCCTTTCTAAGATTTCCCATGAAATACTATAAAATGTCCTTCTTTTGTAACTCAAGCAGGTAATGCCCAGGTTAAGAGTGAGGCCCAGCAGCCGGTGTCCACCAAACCACTGAGTCCTGATGCCAAAGCCTCCAACCTTTCTGAAAATTCTCCTCCAAAAGCAGTGAAGGTATGATGGCAGTTTATCTCTAAGCCTTGAGATGCTGGTAGAGCAAATTGCACTTTGTATCATCTTCATTATAATCTGCTTTTACTTTCCTGGGGATTATAATGCCAAATAAGGGTGTATTGTCCCTACAAATCTTTCTTCTGCCCAGGTGTTTGGGCCAGGAGGGAGAAGGCTCAATAATATGTCTCAGTTTGAAATCTGAATAATATGTGAGATTTTTAAGAAAACCTTAAGTTAAATAAGATAATATGACTTAAAAAATCTAAGTACATAAATATTTGGAGTTGGTAAAACTCACAAAATGGGAAATCTGTTGAACTAAAATTAGCATGTTGTATGGAAATGTACAAAGCCACCTTAAAGATAGTGCTCAGTGGTCTGATGAGTCTGGCTATAACCTGATTGGTTGTTAGCACTTTTAAAGAAAGAATATGTCTGCTGGAGTGGAAGTTGAACAACCCGTATAGTATAAAAATTGGCATTTAAGCTATACTTATGCTAGATGATAATGGTAAATGTTAAGGAATACACAACATTTTTGTATGCTAAGAAAAATTGATTAGGCTATTCAACCTCTGATCTCTTTGATCCCTCAGTTTTTAAAAACAGTCTTTCCATTTCTGGGAGCAAACATTTATTCCCATAAAAATAAACCAAAAAAGGTAAAAAATAGATTTTCCAATTTTAATCTTATTAACTGACCTGTTTTAATTGAATGTTTTGCTAATGCAATGCTACTTCACCTATTTGTATTAATAACCAGTCATACCCACACTTTTTTAGTGTCTTTCTCCTTGGGTGTGCTCTTACATAGCTAGCCTTTGTTTCAAAGGTTTTTTTTTGTTGTTGTTGTTTTAAAGAGAGAATTTTTAGTATTTATTTATTTTTTAGTTTTTGGCAGACACAACATCTTTATTTGTATGTGGTGCTGAGGATCCAACCCGGGCCGCACGCATACCAGGCAAGCGCCCTACTGCTTGAGCCACATCCCCAGACCTGTTTCAAAGGTTTTAGCTTGAAAAAAAACTCAAAAGGCAGAATTAGTTTAAAGTGGTTTGAGCTGCCCCAACTTCACGCACATATGTTCTATGCCTATATCTCTTCACTGTGTGTGATTGGTCCTTGGATGAAAACTGTAGTGAACCAAAACAATGAGAAGAGGATGAAAGTGAGGGTTTGGGGGTGGGGGAAAGAGGATACAGATGATCCAGAAATTAAAGGGTGGATCACAAGTGTGTGTGTGGGGGGTGAAGGGCAGGGTAAAGAAGATAACCATAAAAAATTTAAAGGTAGCAGAAATTTACAGGGAAAATAAGATTTTTGAAAAGTAACAGAGTTGAAGAAAGTAGTGGGGGGTCGGGGGGGGGGGGAGAAAGGAAAAGAAAAAAGAGACAAGAGAAAGCAAGTACAAGAAAGTCTTCAGAGTCTGTGTGTGTGCCTACATGTGCAAGGCCCTGGGTTCAATCCTGGGCAGAAAGAAAGAAAAAGGGTGGAGGAGAAAGAGAAAAAAAAAGAGAAAGAAGAAAGAACTGGGTAATGGTGATTGAATCTGCACATGTGTTCCACCTAACTCTGTTCTGGCCTTGAAGATCTGTCCATGTAGTCATCAGCACTTTGTTTTTCAAGTATTTGGAATCCAACAAAGTAGTAAATGCCAGAGGGTTACTTAACTCTTATCCAGAATCAATCCTGCCCAGATGTGAGTCCTTGGGTTGTGGTTCTTGATCAAGTATGGCAAAAAGGGCTGGGGGTTTAGGTCATGGCTGGAGTGCTTATCTAGCCTACATGAAGCCCTGGGTTCCATCCCCAGTACTACAACTAACAACAAAAGAATGGCTAGCAAATCTAACTTGGTCATAGATCATGTGACTGAGGGGTCTGGGGAAATTCCCTGGCTAATCTAAGAACTAAAATCTATTCTTGAGAATATTTGAATTCTCAATAGGTCTTTTGGGCACCAGTGAGAAGAAACAAAGGTGAAGCTTTCTGCACTAATTTCAGACTTATGCCTCCTCCTTTGTCCCTAGTTACTCCATATCCACAATAGAATGTAAATATCCCTGCGTTCACAGACACTCACCTAAGGTTTTGAACATTGTATGAAGACATGAGTCAACTGGCCTGCAGTCCAAAGCTCAAAAGATTATGGTGTCCAGAGCCTGGAGTGGGACCCAATTATATCTCCACTTTTATTTAAGGGAAATTTATTTTCTCTTCCCCATAGTTCCCTTTACAGTCTGCAGGCAAGCAAGGCATTTTAGTAAATATGTACAGGAAAACGTGCTGGCATAACTGGTCTTATGACTACAGACTCTGCAACAGAAAACTTGTTTCTCCACTTTGAGAAATTACATGCAGCTAAGAATACACATGTTCACTCAAAATAGATTTTTGGGTCCCACACATCATGGAACAAAATGGTTCCTTAGTGCCTGTCTGTAGTTGAAAATAGGACATCTAAGGTAGAGATTCATTTCATTTAAAATTGTAGCTTGAAGCTTAAACAAAAAAGATACAATAAGGACTTCATACATTCTGAACACTGGCCACATAGCTTAGTAGATGAGACTTGGTACCTAATGAAGTTGAAGGTTCATTCTCAAAAAGGATGTGTTTCAGAGCTGGGGATGTGACTCAGTGGTAGAGCATTTGTCTGGCATATGTGAGGCTCTGAGTTCCATTCCCAGCACTGCAAAATAAATAAATATATATATATTTTAAAGATGTGTTTCTGGGCTGGGGCTGTAGCTCAGTGGTAAAGCATTTGCCTCACATGTGTGAGGCACTGGGTTCCATCCTCAGCACCACATAAAAAAAGGATGTGTTTCTGATAATAGAGCTCAGCGGATCCTGTGAGGAGATCAAACCCATTCTACTTCAAGAGACTCAGATTTTAATTTTCAGCTATGCCTCAACAGATTAAAAGAGGGAAAAAAGAAACTCAGATCTCTATAAGCTTTCTGTCCTGCCATTTGAGAGAAGTCATTACCTAAATGTTCTAAGAGGGGACCATAGGGAAAGAAAAAGCAAGGGAATGTGGTACCCTAAAGGATACCTTCTTGCTCCCACTGTGCCCTAGACAGCCCAGTCACCAGCTTCCTCAGCTAGTCCTGCTGGTAGGTGTGAAAAGAAAACAGCAGGCTGCATCAAAGGACATATAGCGTCCATACATTGCAGAGTCCTTATAAGTGACCTGCCATCTGTTCCCCTGTGGACATGATAAGAGGTTTTAGACTTCTTTTTTTTTCCCCCCGTTGCTGAGGATCCAACCCAGAGTCTTGAACATGGCTAGGTACGCACTCTAGCACTGAACTACATCCCCAGCCCCTGTGTCATGCTGCTTTACAAAGCTATTAGAATTATAAGTCTATAAGGGCACCTACAATCCTTTCTCACTGTATATATATTCTCCCCAAAGACTGCACAGACAGAAGGATGAAAGCTGCACAGAACTGGCCCAACCATTTACTGTGTGGTGAAGAATTTCAGTTTTATTATCTAGATATTGTGCACAAATTGCAAGGAAAGAATGAAAGGCATTTTGTGGTGTTCTGTCTATGAAATGAAGGTCTGACATCAGTACAGAATTTTCTTCTGATTTCATTATATGCAAAGGCTAGTTAGCTTCAGTGCCTATTGCCAACTACTGCTTCTTGCCCCTATCACGCATATGTACACCCCAAATGGATCTTTGATCCCTCACTAGACCAAAAAATATATGTAAAAGAAGAGAGTGAAAGCCAGGCATGGTGGCACACACTTGTAATCCCAGCAGTATGGGAGGCTGAGGCAGGAGAATCAGGAAGTCAAAGCCAGCCTCAGCAATTTAGTGAGACTCTAAGCAAGTTAGCGAGACCCTGTCTCTAAATAAAATGTAAAAAGGGCTGTGGCTCAGTGGTTGAGTACTCCTGGGTTCAATCCTCAGTATACACACACAAAAAAAAAAAAGGAAGAAGAAGGAGAAGAGAATGAAAGAGTGTAGATGAAGCTATGCAAATATTTTGGAAAAACAGCTGTAAGTAGCTGTTCTTCAACAGTATCTGTAATATCAGATGGGAAAGACAGTGTTTGTGTACATCAATCATTTATATATTACCTCATTCATTCCAGAATATCCTGAAGACATTATCTACACATTTTAATTTGAAACCAAGTGAAGCTTGTTCAAAGTGCTGTAGTGAGATTATTTTCATTCGGGTTAGCATCTGCTCTCTCCTCCAATAAGTTTCCTTTAGTAAGGGAAATTTAACATTCCAGGACGATTTAGAAAATGCTCTGTTGGTTTGTGAGTAGGAGTTCCGGGCTTTAATTCTAATTCTGTGCCCAGTTGTGTTTGTAACTGTGATAAGGCACCTGACATCCTGGCACTTCAGCTCCCACATGAGAAAGATGGTCTGGGTAGAAAAACCTTTCATTTTTGAAAAAAATACATTGTAAAGATAAAAAATATCTACCATTCTCATATTGGCAGTATTTTCAATGTGGTGATGCCAAGTGTGAGCATGCCATGAAGGCATGGGCAGGATGTTTGCCAGGTCTGTGATAATGGAGAGAGTTTTGGGCACTGACTATGCTTCCTGCTGTCTGAATAGACATGGGGGCAATTACAGAAAAGTGGCTGAGAGCCCAGGACAGAGAAAACAAAGGGAAGGCCCAGCCGTAGCCACTATGACTTGGCATGTTACCATGTTGGGATTCTCTTGTCTTTATGACACTTGGGCAGCTGCTGCATAAACCTTAAATAATATCAAAAGTGATTATGTGAGAAATGAATAGGAGTAATCTGAATAGGGAATCTGGTAGGTCTGGCCAGCTAGAGCTTGTGGTTAGTCAGTCATTTGAGCCAGCAGTTTATTAATTTGATGTTAAGCGGGAGGATGACTTTCTACTTGTGTGGGTGAGGCTTCATTAAAGAGAGAGCCTTTGTGGGTCAGGTGTGGGAGGTAGTAAGACACTAAAGAATTGTTAATGAGACACTCCTTTTGTGCATAAAGGCTCATAAAAGCTCACTCTCTGGGGCTGGGATATGTTCCAACCTCAGGTAGATGTGAGTGAGACTGATTTTTGCCTCTATGAGCAGTTACCTGAAAAAGAAAGGAAAAAAAAAAAAAAAAAAGTGGTCTTGGAACCTAGCCTCTGAGTTTCAGCTCAGCTGCAGTCAAGCACTCCAGGGTACGCCAAATGCTGTGTATTCATTGAAGGTTCCTATTTGTCTCTTCCAGCTTCTGCTTCCTGCTCCTGGTACCTAATTTCTGCTCCTGCCTTCCACTTTCCTCCTAATGTGAGCTCAACCTACACTTTCTCTCAGGTCCTCCTCTCTGTTCACTAAGCTGCACCCTTCTGCAGAGTTCCTTACCTCTGTGTGTATAAGAAAGTGTGTTCTCTATCCCTCTGTTCTCCTCTCGCAAAGTAGTATCAATTTTCTCTTATACCATGTGAAGTTTCTGTCTCCTGCTCTCTCTTTACTGACCAGAGTAAGTACTTATTCTTCTAAACCTATTTTAAGTGTTAAAAATACAGAATCCCTTCTCTACAACTGAAAAACATTTTTAATCTGATAAACACATTTGTCCTATTACTTTTACATTGCATGGATTGTGATTTGGGTAGATTCTCCAATGACATCAATTACACTATTATTTATTCTGCATTTTTAATTTATTCTGCATTTTAATCTATTTCCTGTTTACCATGCAGGGACCACATACTTCTTTCAGAACTTTTAAAACAATGCAGATGTCTCCATTTAGGTCCAGTCTTGTTAGAATGTCCATAAAAGAAAAGGGGGGGGCGCGGGGGGGGGGCAGGGGGGGGGGGTGGGGGAGGGTGGCTCAGTGGTAGAGCACTTGCTAGCAAGTGTGAGGCCCTGGGTTTAATCCCCAAATAATGTCTTAATTACCTTCATCAGCATTCAATATAATAACACTAGGTCACATTTAAATACCTTCCTTATGCTTGGTAAACTAGGTTGTAGCCTGTGGCCTTTTGATTGTTTAAATCTTTCTTTTTAGGATTCTGCCCCTAGAATGAAGGGGTTTCTTGCTACCTAGTCATTTCCACTCAGTTTTACTCCTTCTTTTTTTAAATCCCTTGAGTACTCCTTGGAAGTTTACCACTGATTTTATTAAACTCCCTTTTATAGATCCATCCCTTTACTTCCATTTTATGTTCATTTTCTACTCTCATTTCCTGTCCAAATCTACTTCCTACTTTCTTTTTGTTTTCCCTCCTAGTGAATCATGTAACAAGTGAATTCAGAGTCTGAACTTTTTTTATGGGCCTATTTCCAAGTTTTTTAATCAAAAGTCTTGCCTATATCCTGGTCCTTTTAGGCTTTTGAGGCCCTGGGCCTTGGGAATCATTTGCATTATTTACCATCGTATGTTTTCTGGTGAGAGCCCAAGCTGCTCTTGGGTACAAAGGCACCTAGGTGCCTTCAAGAGCTTCCTGGCTGCCTAAGCCTGCATCTACTGGTTGAGGTGTTTATGTTAGGATAAGTCAAGGACAACTCACACTTACCTAGGGACTTCTTACCCCCACACTTTGTAGCCATGTAACCTTTTCTTATCATGTAAAGGCTTATGATATTTTTAGAATCCTCGCTTTTATCAGTGCTTGAATACCAACTATTTAATAGTTTTTTTAGGATTGAGTTTTATCAAGTTAAATCAATGTACCTACCTTTATTCCACATGCTGCAAATAGTGCATGAATTCCTGGTCATTAACTAATACATTCCCCATTGCATTAGTTTTATTCTCCATTGGTATTTTAGAAATATTATAGAACCTGCCAGGCATGGTGGCACACACCTGTAATCCCAGCAGCTCAGGAGGCTGAGGCAGGAGGATTGTGAGTTCAAAGCCAAACTCAGCAACTTAGTGAGGTGCTAAGCAACTCAGTGAGACCCTTTCTCTAAATAAAATATAAAAAAGGGCTGGGGTGGGCTGGGGTTGTAGCTAAGTGGTAACAGCGCTTGCCTACCATGTGTAAGGCACTGGGTTCAATTCTCAACCCTGCATATAAATAAATAAATTAAATTAAAGTCCACAGACAACAACAACAACAAAAAGTTGTTTTTTTTTTAAGGGCTGGGGATGTGGCTCAATGTATAAGTGCCCCCGAATTCAATCCCCAATACCAAAAAAAAAAAAGAAGAAGAAGAAGAAGAAGACGACAAAAGAACGAAAGAAATAGAATCTATAACCTGATTGGGAAATACTTCCTTGTTGAAGCCTAATAAAATAATAAAATGGTTTGTGTATCTTTATATGTCAAGTATTTTGTTTGTTTGTATTGGGGATTGAACCCAGAGGTGTTTTACCACTAAGTTCCTAGCCCTTTTTAATTTTTTATTTTGAGACAGGGTCTCACTAAGTTGCTTAGGCTCTTACTGAATTGCAGAGGCTGGTCTTGACTCAGTTTCCCAAATTACTGGGATTATAGGTGTATGTCACTGCATCCAGCACAAATTAAGATTATAAGCAAAGGGGAATAAAAGGTGCTTTACTGAAATTGAAATGTTTTTACCTAATTCTCAAAGCCAAATGTTCTTCCTCTCCATGAAAGTTATCCCCTTCAGAATTTGTTCTTATTGTAGTCTGTCCTGCTTTTACTTGGCACTCGAATAAACTTCTTTCTTCTGGGCTGTGATGACATTTTCTTCTAATCCCTGCCCCACCTCCCCCTACTCCCCTGCCCTTAACATTTGGTGATTTGGTGTGCATTTTTTGTGTGCGGTGGCTTTTGTGTGCCCTTCTCTGAAGTCCAGCCCAAGCCCATCTATCTGTCCTCAAAGGCTGCTACACTTAGGACAGATAATTTGGGAAAGGAATTCAGGAGAGATTCTTGGCTTTGAAGAGTCAGCTGATACAATTAGAATAAGTTTAGTATTCCTATGAGAATTGACTGACTAGCCAATTACTAGATAAAGAAAATCCCAGGCCCATCTCAGCAGAGTACTAACTCATCACTGCCTATGCTAGTTAAAGTTGTCCTTTTCCTTTTCCTAGAAGTTTCAGGCACCTGCAAGAGAGACCTGCGTGGAATGTCAGAAAACAGTCTACCCAATGGAGCGTCTCTTGGCTAATCAGCAGGTGTTTCACATCAGCTGCTTCCGTTGTTCTTACTGCAACAACAAACTTAGGTAAGCCAGACCAAAACAGTCTTTCTCTATGTATAGTTGGAGCTTCAGAGGCAATCTTTGGCTTTTGGATCATTGGTATTAAAATCTACTGTGATGATGGTATTGTATTGAAGGCTCCTGAATAAAGTAAAGATACCTGCTTATCGACAAGTATTTCATATAAAATGATAATGATATTTGGGGCATTTAACCACTAAGCCACATAATCCCAAGTTCTTTTTATTTTTTATTATTTTCATCATTTTATAAGTTGCTTAGGGCCTTACTAAATTGCTGAGGCTGGCTTTGAACTTGTGATCCTCCTGCCTTAGTCTCCTGAGCCACTGGGATTACAGCCATGCACCACCATTCCTGGCTATTATACATTGATATGTTCCTTTACATATTAAGACCTAATTTAGTGGATTTTTTCCCTTGGTGTCATAGAATCATAAAGTTAACAAATCCCAAGATGTTACCTACCTGAGCGCTTACTTCAAAGTGTACTAAGCACTGTGTAAATAAATAACAATAAAAATAGCCCCTGATGAGCATGTATATTTTTCCATGTTGCTTCATTTTATTTATTTTCTGAGAAAATAATTATTATGTATAATTCTTCTAAGTAACTCAAAGACATAAATGTGACAGATTGGGGTATAGTCCATATTAAATCATTTTCATCATCCAGACCTAGAGAAGGAAGTTATAAGATGCTACTTTCTCCAGTTTTCCTTCCAGAGCAAGCATCCCTTCTAAAATACTCTTGAAAGATCTCCTGCCTTCTGCATGACATTTATAGGGGGTAGATGCCTAACCGCAGCTAGTTCCAGTGTTAGCTCTAGCTAGACAACTTTCCCTTATATTGAGCCAAAATCTGACAGATTTTCATGCATTAGTTCTTTTTTTGCACACATAATTAATTTTTCTCAAAACACATTACTTGGGGATGGGGGAAAGTTGTCACTTTTATAACCCTTTAATATATACTAAGATAAGGGCTGGGGGATGTAGCTCAGTGGTAGAACATGTACTTAGCAAGCATGAGGCATCAAAATAAATAAAGGTATTGTTTCAATCTATAATTAAAAAAATAACATATACTAAAATATACCCTAAAAAATACTGATCCAGGTATGGCAACATACCTTAGCAAACTCTAAGCAACTTAGTGAGACTCTGTCTCAAAATAAAAAATAAAAAGGGCTAAGGATGTAGCTCAGGGTAAAAATGCCTTTAGGTTCCATCACCAGTAGTGGGGGGGCGGAGGAATGTTACTCTGAGCCAGGTATAGTGGAGCACATCTATAGTCCTTGGGAGGCTGAAGCAGTAGGATCACAAGTTGGAGGCCAGTTTGGACAATTTAGAAAAAGGTTATCTCAAAAAATAAATAAATTCGTAAGTAGTCCAGACGCCATGGCGCACACCTGTAATTCCAGCAGTTCGGGAGGTTGAAACAGGAGAATCAAGAGTTCAAAGCCAGCCTCAGCAATGGGGAGGTGCTAGGCAACTAAGTGAGACCCTGTCTCTAAATAAAATACAAAATAGGACTGGGGATGTGGCTCAGTGGTTGAGTGCCCCTGAGTTCAGGACTGGGGATATAGCTCAGTAGTAGAGCACTTGCCTAGCATGTTTGAGAGCCTGGGTTCAATTCCCAGTGCCATAACAAAATAAAAATAAAATATATTATCCTGCAAGAGATCATATCTAAAGACTTGTCCAGCACTAACATTGGGTAAGACCTTCCTCCTGGCTACTGCTCACTGTTCTCTTATTAACCATATCTTACATTTATTCAGTCAGGAGTAGCTATTGAGTGCCAGCTGTTTTCAGAGCATTGTAACCATTCTTGTAGAATTAAGTTTTTAAATTACAACACAAAAAAGATTCAGCTTTTTACAAAGAAATATCATTGTAAATAGTTAATAGATTATAAATATCTAAGCAATATGAGTTATCAGAGCTAGGTATGATTACCTAGGGAATACTTCCTGGAAGAAGTAATTTTTAAAAATTTTCACAGAGGAGAGTGAAATCATTTGAAAATGGGGAACTCATGCCAAGTGGAAGAATGACTTGTGAAGGTTTAATCTTGAAAGTAAGGATTTGTATAAGGATTTTAAAAAGAAGGAGAAGAATTGCTAATATGTTTTAAATGGAGTAGGGAATCCTAAGTCATTGATGAACTTTCAAATAAATTTCTCAGTATCTTCTGAAAATACTGGAAATGCCTGTTATTAGCCTGCAGGTATAAATGAGAATATGAAGATTTTCTAACTTTATGTTCTTTTTCTTTTGATGACAGTCTAGGAACATATGCATCTCTACATGGGAGAATCTATTGTAAACCTCACTTCAACCAACTCTTTAAATCTAAAGGTAACTATGATGAAGGCTTTGGGCACAGACCACACAAGGATCTATGGGCAAGCAAAAATGAAAATGAAGAGACTTTGGAGAGATCATCCCAGCTTCCAAATGCAGGGGAGACCCCTCAGAGCCCAGGAGTAGAAGATGCCCCCATTGCAAAGGTGGGTGTGCTGGCTGCAAGTATGGAAGCCAAGGCCTCCTCTCAGCGAGAAAAGGAAGACAAGCCAGCTGAAACCAAGAAGTTGAGAATTGCCTGGCCACCCCCATCTGAACTTGGCAGTTCAGGAAGTGCCTTGGAGGAAGGGATCAAAGTGTCTAAGCCCAAATGGCCTCCAGAGGATGAAATCAGCAAGCTCGAAACTCCTGAGGATGTAGATCTGGATCTGAAGAAGCTGAGGAGATCTTCTTCATTGAAGGAAAGAAGCCGCCCATTCACTGTTGCAGCTTCATTTCGAACATCTTCTGTCAAGAGCCCAAAAGCTTTGTCCCCACCTATCAGGAAAGGTTGGAGCATGTCTGAGCAGAGCGAGGAGTTTGCAGGAGAGATAGTACCAGAAAGGAAACAAGTGGAAAATGCCTGGGTCTCCGAGAAGAATGGGAATGTGGGAAAAATGGCCTGGCAAAACAAGGAATCTAAAGGAGGAGAGGCAGAGAGAAAGGAAATTAATAGTTTTGAGATGGGGAGTGAGAATCTCATAGAAAATGGTGCAAACATAGATGAAGATGACAACAACCTCCTCAAACACCAGTCTCCACCAGAATCCAAGTCTCCAAATAGGTCCAGCTTTGTAGATGACACCTCCACTAAAGAATTTGCTACTCAGAATCAGAAATCCCAGGATGTGGAATTCTGGGAGGGAGAAGTAGTGCAAGAGCTGTCTGTGGAAGAACAGATAAAGAGAAATCGGTACTACGATGAGGATGAAGATGAGGTTGAGGAAGAAGAATGACAAATTGCAATGGTGTTGGGCCTTAAATTCGTGTTAGTGTTAGTGAGCCACTGCCCTTTATCAAAGTGATGCACAGAAACAGGTATTGGATTATGAACTGACATTTATGCTAAAGCAACTTTGGAAATGAATTTCTGCTACCAAAAAAAAAAAAAAAAAAAATCCCATACTGCTGCTTAAGTGAACCAGTTATAAACACTAGAAATAACATTACTTAAATCTTTCACTTTAATAGTGACAAAATGCATAAATGCTTATAAGCAGGGAAATATTCCAAGTGATCTAGTCCAAATTCCATTGTATTACCAAATGGCAATATTAAAGTAAATGGATGATTAGTATACATTTTTACACTACAAATCCTATTGTGGAATTAGAGAATATACAGAAGGAATTTAGGGACTGACATGTTATGATTAAATGCACTTTAGCATAAAGGGCATAGTTGTATATTTTTAACAATTATCAATTTTTTAGTATCTACTGTTAAGAGATCAAATATTTAGTCTTTTTTTAAAATTAGGTTAATTTTCTTACTCTCATATATATGTGGGGAATTTTTTGCTTTACATCCTGCTCTAAATCTGGAATTGAATTATTGAGGTACATTACAGCCATCTTTTCAGAGCACCTTTTGAGACTAATAAAGAACCAACCTACATGCTTTGGTGCCTGGAGAGATCCACTGTCTCCAAATAAGTTATGTATTTGCCAATGAGTTTGATTACACCCCAAGTGATTGCTTTTTTTTTTTTTCCTGGTGGTATCTGTGTTTCTCACAATTCATTGAAAGCTGCATCTTTTTTTGTGAGAACTATTGATCACTGTTCACCATGCAAAAGGAAGAAGAATAACAGAAAGAACCGCCTTAAATGACATGAGCTCAGACCTCCAAATCCTGTATTTCACTTCTGATATCCCCTTTCTGAGGCAATAATTTTTTAATACTTATCAGCTCTGAAGTGCATTGATTTTTATTGCAGACAACATTCCCAGGTTGAATTAAACCAACCCTAGGCCTTTTTCTTGGGATGGTTTTCTTTAGTATTAAGGCTTTAGAACATTATAAACTTTACAAGATTTGTTGTACATAATTGATATTCCAAATTGTATGTATGAGAGTGAAAGGTGTTTTAAAGATATAGCCTTTTCTTTTTACTGCATTTATAGAGATTTAGCTCTAATATTTTTTAGATATGTAAAATAATCTGCTTTCTTACCATCTTTCATAGTCTGAAACATTTTTATTCAATAAAGATTTTAATTTACATTTGAACTTTTCATGTTTCTTTTCCATTATTTATTTACATTGTTAACAGTTTTTCACACTAGTAATTTGGGAAGAACCCATTTTAGTTGAAGAGACAAGCTATGAATATATCACCACTAGGTGGTAATGTTGGGCCAAGTTTGGACTTTGATCCTCTGAAGGAAGACAAATTTTTCTAGAAAACTGCAAGCAACTTGGCAAGAGATATTAATGTGTGCCTTCCAAATGAGATGTTTGCTTTACAAATGCAAAAATCCAGTGGTGGTTTTTATGGTTTATTGTATTCAACATTTATTAATTCTGCTGGGCGCAGTGGTGAATGCCTGTAATTCCAGCAACTCAGCAGACTGAGGCAGGAAGATCACAAGTTCGAGGCCAGCCTGGGCAACTCAGCAAGGCCCTCAGCAACTTAGACCCTGTCTCAAAATTTAAAAAAATAAAAAGGTCTAGGGGTGTAGTTCAGTGATAAGGTACCCCAGGCCCCAGTACCAAACCAAATAATTCACCTTACAATTATGCCTGACCTTCTAAATGGAATTTCCAAATGCCTCTGCTGAAAATATCTGTTTTCCACTCCAGGCAGAGACATTTTTGGTTGTTTGATATAGAGATAACTGCTCCAGTTGTTAAAGTTTTTGCATGTTTTTTTTTTTTTTTTTTTTTTTTTGTTTTAATAGGTTGGAAATGTAGACTTCATTGCAGATGAAGAGGGTTTTTTAAATTGGGGGGGGGGTATTTGTTTGTTGCAGTACTGGAAAGATTAAGTCCAGGGGCACTCTACCTCTACCACTGAGGTACATCCCCAACCCTTTCTTATTATATTTTGAGACAGGGTCTAAGTTGCCCAGGCTGTCCTCAAATTTCTAATTGTCCAAAGTGGCATGTGCTACTAGGCTTGGCTTTTACATTTCCAGGGTCAATGTATGTTCTAAGGGTCTTTTCTAGCCTTCTAACTATATGGCAGGGTACCTCTGCTCTTGCTTCCACTCCAAACTGAAATCATTTAGAAACCTCTAGTCACTGTACAAATAATCCAGGAGTACCTGACATAAAATATCCAAACCTGGTTTGAGCTTACCACTGGTATGTGTTTGTTTGCAATTCTAACTGTCCACATGATATTCGTTTACTGACCTTATTAAAAAAAAAAAATCTGTTTGCCTTTGATATCAGTTGAGTATGTCACCATATGTCAGGCATTTGGGAACTAAAATTACCCTTACAATCCTTTTCTATAACTTTCAAGGTCTGTTAGACATATCATTACTATACAGGCACAGAGAGAAGAAACAAAGAGTAGCTCCACGTTCAATATAATAATGGGATGTCCTTGTCCAGAGAATGATCAGATAACACAAGCATTTCAAGGGAAAAAATTTAAAAAATCTACAGCCAAATAAAAAGTTAATCATTTGTTCTTTCAGCTGTCTAAATGAAGGCAACTTTGTTTGGTTTTGGTATGTTAATGGTGACAATTGGATGAGGTAAGTTTTTCTGTTGGGAAAGCAGGAAAACGGACCAAGCTTAGGACTTGAGATGTTCAAGGAGATTCTGGTTATGACTGCTAGAAAACAGGCTTGATTCAGTGATTTGCTGGTTGGATTATACCTAGCCAAAGTGAAAGCCCAACTTAGTTGGCTTCATCACATATTTCATTATCAATATGTTTTCTAATGGCCAAGAGGTTGAGAACTGGTACAAATGCATTTTGAGGGAAACCATTTTGAATAGTCTTAGACCAAGATTATTGTTTCACTGGTTCCTGCATGCCAAGTTAGCATGTTCTCTGTTCCTTGAAGCTCTGATTTAAATTCCCATAGGACCAGAGAGGGATTTTACTTCCTTTTAATATGTATTTTATTTTTTAATTTTATTTATTTTTTTAAAGTACTTAAGGATAGTGCAAAGCCTTTTCGGTTTATTTGTAAAATTTTCTGGAGGGGTACATTATCTCAAATGCAGATGCTTCTTGACTTTCAATAGGGTTATAGCCTGGTAAGCCAATTGTAAATTTAAAGTATTCTTTTTTTTTTTTTTTTAAGTTTTCAGCGGACACAACATCTTTGTTTGTATGTGGTGCTGAGGATCGAACCCTGGCCGCACGCATGCCAGACGAGCGCGCTACCGCTTGAGCCACATCCCCAGCCCTTAATATGTATTTTAAATATAAGGTAGTTACCATTAAATTATTGCTAGGTTTGGGTGAAAATGGCTTTAGGTGGAGGTACGCAGAGCACCAGCAATGGCATCACCTATTAATTTGTTAGGAGAAATCAGGGATGGGGATGTAGCTCAGCCATACATCATGCTTGAGGCCTTGGGTTCAATCCTAGACACCCCCCCACCCCAAAAGGAAAGAAATGCAAATTCATGAGCTCTACTCCCAACCTTCTGAACTCAGAATCTCTGGCTGGGGCTCAGGGAAAAAAACTCCCTCCGTGTGGGATATGGGAAAGCTAATATTTGAGTTGATACATGTTAGAGTTTGAGAAACTGAATAAAAGCAAATCTTCTAGTCTACTCCTTGGAATGGCTTTTCCCCGCCCCGCGCCCCCCTTCCTCTCCTTTGGGAACCGGTATCAGAGGCAGGGCCAGAGTTATTCTGATGTAAGCATGCCTTACTAGTTATAAAGTTACTTTATCTGTTCCCAGATAAGAGAGATTTGATTCTTCGTTTAATCCCCCCCACCCCATCATTCTATTTAACCTCTGGCAATTTAACCATGAAGCCAGGTTTTTAATAGACGGAATTAGGGTTCTAAGGTACTTGAGGGACAATTGAGTCTTTTGGAGAGGACTAGTCTATTTCTCCCCTCTTTTGTGTAGATTTATGCAGAGTTCAATGTTCAGTGTGAAAACCTAAAATTAAGGCAGTTTATAGGATAAAGGTTCAAGGTTCTGGAGTCTAAAAACTTTCTCATTACCACTTCTTATCTATATAACCTTGGACAAGCTGTTGGCCTTCAGTTTCCTCCTCCATAAAATACTGGGGATAACAATATCTACTCCAGTGTGTGAAAGAGTGAAATTACCTGTGTAAAACGTACCGTGCAGTACCTGGCACATAGTAAACCTCATTAAATATTGCCTTTTTTGGGGGGCGCTGGTGATTGAACCTGGAGCCTGCCACATGCTAAGCGCGGGCTGGATCTCTAGTTTATGTATTCCCTCCGTCCATATTTCTCTTTGCTTTTATATTTTTCCCCTGGACGTCTCGATTTCCACACGGCTTTTCTTCTATTCCCTTTCCCCAATGAGAAGAATAAAATAACTATTTAAAGTCCATTTTTTCCCGAGGAAAAGAGACGATAACTTTCAAGTAGTGAAAAGGGATGGAGATCATGGAGGGGCACGAAGGGAAGAAGAGATTGGGAGTAAAAACAATGCTTGTGGTGGAGAATTAAGAGTAGGTGGGACCAGATGAGATGGCAAAATAAGCCCTGGCCGGAGGGACCCTGGGAGTGGAGACACAGGTATATCCTGGCTGGGAGCGGGAATGGACTTGTATCGGCTGGACTCGGAAAGAGAAATGTCCCCATAAGGGAACTAAGCCGGTAATAAGGGGTGTGGCCGTGCTCGCCTTGGTGAGGGAAGCTGGACTCAGCGATAAGAGGCGGGGCCAGAGTTAAGGGGCCTGTGGTGGGTGGAGCCGGGGCTGCATGGGCGCGAATGGGCGTGGCCATTGTGGGAGTGGCCAGGGCCGGCGGGCAAGGACCCTTGGAGAGTGCCCCAGCCCGCAGTGGAGAGGTAGGTGGGCGGGGAGGCGAGATGGGCGGAGAAAAGGCCCTGCTCTGCGGAGGAGTTAGGCTGGGCGGGGCAGGGGACAAGAAGGGGCCGGAAGGGGGTGGCCGCCGGCTGGGCCCCGCCCCAGGACCGCCTCTCCGCGGGTTCCGTTGGCAGTGGCGGTAGCTAAGGCTGTGGCGGCGGTGGCCGCGGGGCGGGCGTAAGATGGCGTCTGCGGCGGCGGGAGCCCTGGGCCTGCTGTGGGGCTGGCTGTGGAGTGAGCGCTTTTGGTTGCCTCAGAACGTGAGCTGGGCCGATCTGGAGGGTCCGGGAGACGGCTACGGCTACCCGCGCGCCCGACACATCCTCTCGGTGTTCCCGCTAGCGGCGGGCCTCTTCTCCGTGAGGCTGCTCTTCGAGCGGTGAGAGCCCGAGGCGTGGAGGGCCGGGGGCGGCCCGAGGGTGGTCCGGGGGCGCGCAGGCCCGGGAAGCCGCGGGGCCAAAGACCAAGGGCCGGAAGCAGAACTGAAGAGAAAGCCCGGAAGCTGGAGGAGCCGGGGCCGCGGCGGAGATGCTCGGAGCTTGGTTGAGGTGGTCCTGGAGCCTGAGTTGAGACCGGGAATTTGAGGCGTGGGCAAGTGAAAGAGTGAGGGGCGAGGGAAACGCTGGGCCCCTGCAAGTTTAGGTCCCAGTGTTTTCTTGGGAGATCTTGTGGGCCTTCTGCTGACCTCCACCGCTCCTACAGGAAACAGGTTGAGTGTGAGTCCGGCAGAGACCCTGACACGGATAACTGGAAATGGCTAGGAGAGCCCGAGCTAGTTGGGGAAGTGGAAGCCGAGGGTCACCGCAAGCACCAGACGTTCCAAGTAAAAGGAGTGGGTTCATGAGACTCAAAATTTGTGAGGACACTTTAGCTTCTGAGTTGAGGAAAACGAGATTAGTTAGGCCCCTGATTTGTCAGCTCATGGACGTTTTGTTTGTTGGTATGATAGAAGAAATCTAGTTGGGATAGGGTGTGGTGAAGCCCCAGGCTTCCGAAGTACGGGAAGGTGTCAAGCGAGCTGCAGTACGGGCCTTGGAGGCCTCAGATGGAAGGAGTGGTCAGTCGTCTTGAAGGGATGGGAGCCATAGGGTTTATTAGAAGACTTCTGTGTTGAGCCAACTTCTAAGTGAGGTTAGAAAAATCACAACATAGTTCGTCCAATCATGTGCTCTTGGTAAAAGTGATTTCACCTTTCTTTGAGTGGTAGATTGTATCTGTTGGGTAAAATGAAGATATTCAC